CCCCCCCTACCAGTGCGTATGTACTTTGTGCACGCCGCCTTATGAAATTTATAAAAAATTTTATCAATAAAACTTTGTGTTACATGTTTACATAATTTATAAATTGTATAACTAAATTTTAATTTGTACAAGTTATTAATAAAATACATATAAAATTATTTAAGATCAATTTATCCATGTGTTGGTGAGTGTCACGTTACCAGGTATGTTTTATGGGAATAAAATTTCTGTAAATTATTAAAAAAAATAATAATTAATAAATTTCTTATTAAATAACATAATTATAAATTATAACTTATGTTTCCTTGGTAATAAATTATACAATAAACTCAACTATTTTTCTCGACCACCACCACCTCCTTATTCGCCTGTACTGCCCCTCCCGTGAAGCTCTCATTCCTGGACATGGGTTTGGTATGTATGGGGCCGGTAGTCAGTCCCTTATCGTCGATACTATCGTAAAAGGCTGTCGTCGACTGTTTCCTAATGATCAGTACATCCTGTTCCTCATCCACGGCATACATGTCCACCGAGTCCTGAATACAGCAACAACACAGTCGGCGCCTACACCTGTCAAACTGGTCCGGCTTTTCCTGACGCCATTTGGACACACCTAACAACGCTATACATACGGTGACCAACACTGCGCCCACAATACTAGTCCAGTCGGACTCCTCGTCCAGTAGTAGGACGTCCCACACAAACGCAAGCACTATGTTTAGGGTGCGAGTGATGGCTACCGGGCCCGCGGACTCGTAGTGCAGGGCTATTGTCATGAAAAACTGGTCGGCGATACCCAGGATACCTGTGCGATTAAGACAGTTGTCTTGTTAATTGTTAATTGTTATTAAATTATGATTATATCTATGTGTTATAAACTTTTATCAAGCAAACATTTGGTAAATATAAATTATGCTAATATTAAAATAATATACAATATTATAGTTATAAAATTTGCTATAAAATTATTAAACCTGTAAAATTAAATTTGAGGATATAAATTATGTTATATTTGTTTATTTACAAACAAACTTGGTAAATTACTATATTATATTATACCATCAGCAAACATAAAATTATTTAAACAATTATTTAACTTTTACTTTTTAATTTAAAATTCTAATTTAAACCATTTTGTTAATAAACGATTTTTTAAAATAAATAATAGCGAACTGTAATAAACTAATTATCAAACATATTAGTAGTTATAATATTTTTAATATTAAAACATTCTGGACAAAAAAACAGTAATTTTTAATTTTCATAAACTACAGTACTTGATATTCTATTTATACACCTAAAATATAGTTATTAAATAATTTTAATAAATACCTATTCCAACTAGCAGACCATATTGATACCACCCACGTGGCCACACCCATTTATCCACTATAAGCACCGTGGTCAAACTGGCCGCCATGGCTACCCCGGAAAACCATATAATAACTACTGGTAACGGGGTAGTCCTTAATTTACGCAATATTAACATAACTGAGGCGGTGCTCAGTGCTGCCACCACCGAGAAAATTAACCCTTGGGTACGATCATTAGTGGCGTAGGTGTCGGTGCCAAATATGAACTCCGGTTTAGCAATGACTATTACGCCGACAAATGTGATGATACCGGTGCACCCCTGTAGCCACGTTAGGGGTTCCTTGAGTATGAACACCGCCAGGAATATGACGATTACGGGCGATGAGAACTGGATGGTAGTGGCGTCCCCTAGCGGTATGAGACGGTAGGCCTGGTATATGAATATGGCGGCGCTGGTGCCGCATATCGCTCGTAGGAATAAGTCTATCCGATGACCCGGCACACCGAATACGTTGTGCCTGTGGTATATGACCGGTACGATGTAGAATATGAGTTGGAAGGTACACCTTGGTAGTTTTTGAAAAACAAAATATTAATTATTTATTGTAAAATAGACTGTAATTTATTAAGTGAGACAAATATTTGAGGTTTAAGTGAATGCTAAAACATAATGATATTGGTGAGGTTTGTGATTAAATTTTACTTGTTAATTTTAATAAATTTATTTTAATTACATTTTTATTCGTATAACATTACTGTATTTAGTTATATTAAGATACTGTGTACATATTAAATTAGAAATACTACATAGTACAACATGTAGTTTTATGAAAAACAAAATTTCAAAATAATTAATTAATTGAAAATATATCCTTGCATATAAATAAACTGTAATTTATTAAATCAGGCAAATATTTGAATTTTAAATGTATGCTAAAACAATTTATATTGGTTACACTTACTGTATGTCCTTATTTTTATTTAAGCTACTTTATTGTTTTCGTTTGTATTATTTTAATATAATAATAATAATATAATAATATTATTTTGAAACTGTAAATTTATTTATATGATTCATATTAAAAGTTAATTATTGGTTATAAAAGTACTAGTGGATTTGTCAGAAACCAATTTTTAGAATTTCATTGTAACCATATAGAAATTGTTTTAATTTGTTATGATTATAGGTAAAACAAATAAGTCAAAATGATAATCAAATTTCAAAAATTAAATACAAAATATACAAATTTATTTTAAAATTATAACAAACATATTCAAGTTACCAGGTAATATGGACGGACAGCACCGGTAGGCACCGTTACTCACCTAATAAACAGCACTTGTAGTGAATGCAAATCGGTTATGATTTTGACGATCACGGAGGCGACGGAAAAGGCAATGACACTCAGTATTGACATCATTATACCGAACGCCGGGATCATTTCGGGCAACGATTTAGCGTGGTGCTTTTTATACACCGGGTAAGGCACCGGTAGCCCAGTGGCGAGCGTGGGGTAACTGCCATCAGATATTTTACGACCGCACCCGCACTCCACACTAAACTCGAGCGGAGTTCCCGGGCATCCACTCGAGTGCTGGCGGTGGTGGTGGGGAGGGGTAGTGGACGGCGAGTCGATAGTGTCGCCGCTATCCTGGTTAGTCTCCTTCACCACAATTAAATGCATTTTTTATTAATTAGTCGTAATTAATATTAATTATTAGTAACTCTTATTAGTTAATAAATTATATTAATTATATGAATAAAACTTTTTAAAATTAAGTTTTCGCCACAAATACACGTATTATAAGTATAAATGTCATAATTATGTGAGAAATTGAAGTTAATTTTGTTGTTGTTTTGTGGCATAAAGTATTTTCACATCTAATTTAAGTTATAGTAATGTTTTTCAATAACTTTATTATTAGTGATTAGGCTTTTGAACAGTTTTAATGGATAACAGAGTCTCTGTTATTATCGGTATTTATAATGTGTTTAATATAACTGTAGTTTGAAATCAATGAAAAACTAATGATAAATGCCATTGAGTTTTGTATGAATACAGTATATTTGACTGATATTTGTTTTAAGAGTTATATTGGACTCTAATCTCGTGTTTATTTAAGACAATATTTTATAAATACACTCTTATGTTAAGACTTTAGTGTAATCGTTCAAAATTATCCGGATAACATTACAGTGAGATGCAATTTTTAAAATTAAATTATTTTACTATACATGCAGTATGTTTTACATGTTTAATAAAATTTGTTTTATTTGTCGTATAACTTAAAATGATAAAAACTTGTATGTTATTAAACTAATTAAATAATTTTATGAAATTTAAAAAATGATTATAAATTGAATATGATATATTTATTTGCGTTGATGATTTTAAAATTTATTTAAACTACTAAAACGATATACACTATATAATTAAATCATTAAAATTAAATGTATATAATATATATTAATACCTTAATATAAAATGTTTTAAAAACAATATTACTACGACAGTCTTAAGAAAAACATAATTGTATTTTGAAATATTACATGTCATTATTAGTTAGACAAAAACTTTATTAGCAAAATATTTATCCAGTATCAATAAAATCATGGCAAACACGTGTAACATAGCATCTTATCATAGGACAAATGACTTTACAAAATTGATTTAAGTATAAGATTGCATGTTATATATGAATATATGAAAAGGGAAATGGAGTTTATTTTTGTCATCCAAGTGCTCATCAGCTGACTGTTAAGTGGTATTAATAAACACAGACTCAGGAGACTGGATGAGGAGGTCGTTGTGTATCTAAACATAACTAAAAATAATTTTTAAATAACTTTTTTTTGCTAATGTTTTGTATTTTTAAAGTTATCTCTCAATGCGTTCATTAGACAAACATTTAGTTGTTTTGTTGGCTTTTATTCAAATGGAAAGTTTGAAACAATTTTTTTTACACAAAAATATTTTTTGTTGATATGTTTTGTGATATGTTTTTAATTATAGTATTAATAATAACATTTAAATTAGGCTGCATTTAAATTTTTTAAAATTAGTTATTTATTACATTACTTGTATTTGTACTTGGATATAAAAAAAACTTACTTTACCGAACCAATTAATTTATATATAATACAATTTTAAATATATAATTTTATTATAATTAGTTTACAGTTGTATTGAAGTTCAATTATTTATAAATTAAAATTTAAAATAAGTATTTTGTTAAGCATTTAATATAATAAGTAAAATTATTAGTTTTAAATTATTAATTTATTTTTTTGCATTTCTTGATACTTGTGCTGGGATATAAAATTTGTTGATATAATAAATTCTCGCAACCAATCAATTTATATTTAATAAAAAATTTTAAGTACATAATTTTATAATAATTAGTTTACAATTGTTTTGAAATTTAATTATTTATAAACAAAAATTGAATTAACTATTTTGTTAAATATTATGAGTTAAATCATTATTGTAAAATTTTTAATTTATTTATTACATTAACAAATTAATTTAGATTTACTAAAATTTTTAAGTTTATAATTTTATTATAATTAGTTCACTTATTTATTTATCGGTAATAAAAATAAATAAATAGAAATACAATAATAAATATTATATGCAATAAATAAATAATTGTATATTTATTTCAAACTTTTTTGACACAAAATACACTGCACATAATGACCCGGTTAATTAAAAAACATTTCCGATTACTTGTTTACTAAGGTTTCAAGAAATTGAAAACTTCCCCTAAAATTATGATTAATTTCAACCGTAAATAACATTAAGGGATTGAAATCTCCGTAAACCTTAAGACAACCCATAATTACAAAAGTCTTAAAACTATTTATTCCTTGAATTCGTAGCTATTATTGTCTATAATTATAGCTAATGTAAAGTTTTCAACAATTCTTAATGCAATTCTTAATGACATTTAGTTTTATTATTTTTATAACTCAATACAAACATTTCATACTAATATGAGACACGTGTTTATCTATCCGTTTCGTATGAAATACCGTTTCCCTAATTATATAAAGTCATGAAAAAGTCTTTTGAAAGCGAAGCAAAAAAACAATAAAAGTTTTATAAAAAAACAAAATTAAATGTATATTTTTTATATAATGTACTCCAATATGCCGTACAATGCATTGCACTGGCATTGCATTAGTACACCACTCGCTAACATTACATCATATGTATGGCAACACACTGTCTATGGGCTGGATGTATGTATGTGTGCGCACATCCCTGTGCTCGCAGACATTGTGATCAGAGAGTGATTTCCACTGCTAGAGCACAGGTAGGCTATGCGATGGGGGAACGGGAGGTCAACAGCAAATAGGTCAATCGCACGTAATAACGCAGCAAGGTGACTTTTAATATTTGCTGCTTGCAAAACTAGTAAAAGTCGCATCTAACCAGTTAATGATCGCGGTAACATGTTAAATTTTACATAATACTACTCTCCCCCTTGGAGGGGAGGGGAGGGGAATGGGATGTAAACCCTTGGCAACAGGAACAGTAGATCACTGACGGAGCACGTGCTCAGGGAATGGGTTGTTGTTATGATGGGCACAGGGATCTCTCTCTCGCATCATAGAAAAACAATATTACATTATACTGTTTCCCTATTGGCTGATATAGAGGGGAATGGTAGCTCTCTCTCTCTCTCCCTCTCGCCATACAATTCCTATGATTTCTATCTCTATCCCTATTGTAATAACACAAACACTCCCCTATGCTATAGCTATGGTTGTCAGGCACTGGTAGGTCGTGTGTGGAGCGCCAGTATTCTCGCACTCAGTACACTATATGTTACACAAACGATCAGATGATGTCTTGAGTCTCTCTCGCAAATGACACTTAATTCTGGAAATTTTTTGTCGATTAAAACAAAAAATTATAATAATTTTTACGCAGAAATTCATTGCTCACTGAATGCAATGAATAATTATTTTATCGCTAAATATACTGAAAAATTCTGTATATAATAGTCGGCGATAAACCACTCAAATGATCAAAACGAGTGGCTATTATATCAATGAATATTCTTGTGATTAATATAATAATAATCAGTATTTCATATAAAAGTTTTAATTTTTTATAAGCGTTTAGAACATAGTATTTGTGTCTAAACCCCCTATAAATGACCACCAAATCGGCGCCTATACCGATTATTTTATATTTAAATCTCTATTTGTATTATTATTTTACATTTATCATTTAATTTATAACAAATATTCACAAAAACTCTATTTATTTGTCACAAGTTTTGAGCGAGAGGTGAGTGATAAGTTTTTTTTATATTATATTAATTTTTATTAATTACTATCTTTTGATAATTATTTATTACTAAAATTATTTGAATTAATTAATACTAATATATAAAAACCATGTGCTAAAAAGGTTAATGCAAATGGTGCTAGGTCACAAGTGCATATTGTGTACAAAAAAGTGCAGTATCATTGCATTAATTATATACACTATTGAATAATTTAATTAATTATTTGTGTATTTTGTTTTGATCATATAAATGTATTTTGAATTTAATTGTAAACATATTGATTAATTATATATTTGTTATTATTTTCTCATTGAAAAATTTTATTATAATTTTCCAATTCAATTATATGACAATTTAATTCATAATACAATCATTGAATATAATAATGACATGAATAACATGTTTATCATGAACATTTCTATACAAACATGACATTCATATAAAAAGGACATACATTTATCATTTTAATTTGAAAATAAATATATTTTTCAAATTAGATTTGCACTAAAAAAGTTATTTTATTTTATCTCATTCACTGTATATATATACCCAAAAAATCTATACAATTATATGTATTATAAATACATTTCTCATGTAAACAAGAATATTCTGAGTAATAGTAATGAAAACACTATTATTATTATTATTCCCGACAAACATATCACAAAATGGATGTATAGACAAACATATCACATAAATATATACTCACAGAATATTCCTATAAATATACATAATATATTCTGTAGCCAAAAAATATATGAAAATTTATTAAAAATAATATTTTTCAATTCGCAAAAATGAATTATTATTTAATAATTAAATATCGCATAATATGCTATTTTTTGTATGTGTCTCATATTGCTAATAGTGTATGAAATCTAATTATTTATAATGTTATCTCTATGTGTGAAATATGTTTTGATAGTTTGCGTCATTCACGCGATTCTGTTATTTTCAGTGCATATATAGACTCCTATACTATATAATGAGATGTTTTTCTACAGAATTTTATTTTGTATTTATTTTATTTTATATCGATTTTCTCGGTTTCGAAATATATTTTCCGAGAATTGTTTTTATCGACGATTTTTTGGTGATAGGGATTGAGAGTCAGAGAGAGAGAGATAGAGAGAGAGAGAGAGAGAGAGACTGTTATTGAGTTGATTGCGATAGAAATCAATAAAATTAGGGTTTATATGATTTCTAT